TTCTCCCACTGCATGGATGGTTCTGTCTGTTTTGGGGATTTGGGCTTACCTAGAATTCCTTGTGCCATTGGGTCCGGCCCATACGAGATCCCTTCAGTGGTCACTTTGTGACCAGTGGCTCATGCATATCATTCCTTTGGATCAAACTCTCTTTGCTTGAGAACAATTTTGCAGATCTCAAGTGGTGGCTAGACAGAAACATCATGACTATCGGGGTCTAGATACCATCTCTTCCTCCAAGAAATCCATCTCTTCATGGATGGGATGCTTTTCTTCAGGAGCAGGAATTGCAGGGTATTTTAACAGACTATGGATACATCGAGCGATGATTCTAGGTCATCTTTTATTGCACACCCATTATCATGTTCCCTTCAGACAACTCCACAGTGGTATCAAATTTTTCTCGTCAGGGAGGTACTTATTCTCGAGATCTTTGTTTTCAGGCTTTGAATCTTCTTTATTGGGCTCATTCCCACGACATCCATCTTTTGGCCTGTCATGTGTCGGGGATTATGAATTTGATTGTGGATCATTTTTCTCGACCCCATCAGATTCTTCCAACAGATTGTGTATTATATCAGGAGGTCTTTCAATGGATTTGTTCTCAGTTTGTATCTCCAATGATCAGTGCCTTTGCAACCCATTGGAATGCTCACCTCCAGTTGTTCTGGTCTCCACTTACACATCCATGAGCTCTAGCAATAGATGCTTTCTGTCAAGACAGTCGATCAGACCTGGATCATTTGTTGTGTCCGGTCAGAGCATTTAGATGTTATGTGGCTTATACGGCTTTTTATTCATTGGGATCCTGCTCTGTCCTGGGATTTATCACCCATTACATTAACCGGGGGCTTTTGAAGTTGATTCATGTATCCTCTTCGAGGTTATCTGTTGAAGATCGAATTATGCTCCACGTCACCACTTGGGTATCATGATGCACCTTTGTTCTATTCAGATGCTTTTTGTATGAACTATGCCCTTACCGGCTCCTCCAACTTCTCAATGTGGGATTCTAACTATAAGTGGCAGTGGAGGTAAGTATGTTTTGGAATTATCATTTTCCTACTCTCAAAATGTATTTCCAAACATACTTACCTCTGCTGACACTCTCCCTCCTCACTAAGAGCCAGTGTTCATGACCAGGATGGGATAAGTCTTGAAAAAAGGTGATTACATTGTCTGCATTCAGTGCTTATATATAGAACCTGCATAGAGGGTGTGTGAGGGCTGGTGTAAAGTTATGCAAATTAGATATTGTTGAGTGGGGTATAAAAGACTGGAGCAAGCAAACACAATATTTAGATGGCAAAGAACAACGGAAGATGATCGAGAAATAGCTATAAGTGTCAGCGGAGGTAAGTATGTTTGGAAATACATTTTCAGATTAGGAAAATGATAACTTTTGGAATTTGAACCAGTCCAGACACATTTTAAATTGGCCATTTTGACTGGTTCTTAAGAAAAATCCTGGAACAATATAACTTAAATTCCCATGTAAGTACCATATTTGCCCGATTATAAAGTGCACCCAATTTTGAAAGGTTAAATTGAAGAAAATTTGTTTTTTTACATGTCAGTTATAAAAAATGTATTGAATAGTTTATAAATACATTAAACAACTCTTGATGTATTAAACATTTCTGGAAATCTTTCATTGAGGTTTTTTTTACATGTCAATTTTGCAAAATTTATTGAAAAGTTGATATGTGTTAATACACTAAGCTAATCATTCATCTTAACATAAATCTTGATCATCGCTAAAATTGTTGCGACCATCGCATTCATCAGATTTGCTTCCTTGAACCTTTTCTTCATCCTCTACTGATTAAAATGTGTAATGATCTTGCTATTGACTGTAATGAAATCAACTACAACTTAATGGGATATTCATGATCACAAGCTGTAAAGTGTGGAGGAAATATGATTCACTTGACAATCCAGTATGATCAGAAGCTTCCACTATAGCTATTTGATCATGAGCTGCAGAAAAACTTATAAAATTTGACCATTATCAAATAAAACTCCCTTGTCTAAAAAGCCAAATGTATATATA